GAGACTGAAGTCACATATCTTTCCCCAGAATAGTGTAGGAAGCAAGAAACCTTAAGTATCCGAATATTGGTATGAAGCCAGGGATAGAGGTGGTAGTGAGGATGAGGGTGAGGGTGAGGTTGGTGTGTGATCTTTCTCTGCAAGTAGGCTTCATACTCATGCTTTCCAATTGTTCCTGTCTGGTATCTTTTCCTGTGATTCCATTCTCTCACTAACAAGCTCCTTGTAGCTGCCAGTTAGGATAGCCTCATCAGCTATGTTCGAATTTCCTGTCATCCCAGTGTGTCTCTACTTCCTTGCGGTCATGAACCATATAGATAACCATTAGTCTTCCTTCTAGAAATTTAGCATCTGCCCTCAACTATTACAGAAAATGTAATTATGCTTGTATACAGTTTTTACATTTAGATTGTCTTTACATTCATATAATCTATTAATTGGATGCTTAAAATCCATGGTTTATGTTTGGATATAGAGTGGGAGGGTATGGATCAAATGTATCAAACATTATCCCAGCAACAGTCCTCAATATAGGCAGAACCAGATTAAAATATAATTGGGAGATATTTAACAAAATAAATAAAAATTCAATAGAACATAGATAATATTAATATGTTGTTTTCTAAGTCAATATGCAGCCTGCAGGGATGCTTACGTAGGCTTTAGTGTCCCTAGTTCAGTTTGACATCACTGGAATGGGTCATCAACTGTGGTAATCTTGAATAGTTGGGACTTATATTTTGTTACAAATGCCATGCTCCAAATCACTCTACAAAGGTAAACTTCATGCTTTTTTTGAGCAATAAAGAATTGAGCACAGTAGAGTAACAAATATAAATTCCACCTAGAAAATGTTACACAAAAGACCCCAAACTCCATCCTTATTGTGCTTCTTGGTTCAATATACTACCACCATAGAAACTTTCCCTTTAGGGGATTCATTTTTGTCATCCCTTGCTTCAAGCTTTCAATGTATTGAAACACATCTTTTCTTAACACTTGCAGAAGAAGAAAAAAGTGCATTGTACTTTTCTGGGAAGTGGGCATACATTTTATATACAGCATCACACCTAAGATGATAGAACCATATTTCTGTCTTGAACACACTGTCTGAGATGTGTACTTTCTGAGTGACAGCTGAGTTCCCCCAGAAATAACCATAAATCTACATTTTCCTGTCCTATTTAGGCTTTGTTTCTGGAATATAACATCACAAAATAAATGGAAACATTTCTTCCTTGCACATTTTTCCCTTCTTTGGCTGGCAAGTTGGCAGCATCTGATCATATTAATGTTTCTGTCAGCACCTCCACCAGAAGTGTTTATAGCACCAGAGTACATTTAAAACAACCCCGGACAGCTAAATACACATTGAACACAGTATCCAGATTGGAATCCAGCTACCACCTGGGTTACTGCAGGGTCGACTTTGTTAATTTTTAATTTGGAATTTGAAATAGTGGTGAAGAAAGCTGAGCTTTCTGGAATATTTTTAGGTAAAGCAATCAACAGACCACAGATAGACACTTCCCACTTGGCTTGGTTTCTATCTTGTTTTAGTCCAAATCAGCTTCTTGCAGACAAAATTAGAATCAGGTAGAGACTGTGCATTTTGAGAACTGAAATGTCTTTTTCTGTTCCATTCCTTTGTTTTATATTCCAGCATTTTATTCTACACGGATTATGTCCCATTTAAGCCATGATGCACCTCTCATTAGTGATAATTCTCTGGTCTCCAAAGTTCAAAGACAAGCTTAATATCAAATTCACAAAATTTCATTCAAACAAATAACCCAAATATATAGTTATTTCGTACAAGATCTTAAACCTAGAAATTTCTAATACAGGACAAGTCAAGGGCATGGCAATTGCTTTATTGAGAGAGTTTTTGAAAGTTGACAATCAGAAATGCATCCTTTTTTGTGTATATTTTGATAATAAAATTTTATTTATTTTTTTACATCATCAGAATTTCTCTCTCTATCCCTCTTCCTTCTCCACTCCAGAGAGTCAGTCCATCAGGTATAATAAATGACATTTTTAAAGAAAAAAAAAAGAGGGGAATAGCAAAACCAATTAATTCTATAAAAACGTCTAACCTCTCACTTCTACAAAGGAGTGGGGTGGATGTATCTTATCATAGCTCTTCTTTGAGATCATGCCTGTTTTTCATAATTTTGTAACATCCACTTTCAATTGTGTCCAGGTGGATTCTCTTCATTTAAAAAGTTGTTGTTATTATGCACATTGTTTTCACTTCATTCTGAATAGGGATATTCTTGAGAAAACTAAGCTTCACAATGAAGTTTTTCTTTATGAGGAACTGAGTGCTTGGAATTTTTGAGCATTTATTTCTGAGTTATATCTTTTCAATTTAAAATTTCACATCAAAATATATGAGTTGCAGAGAGAGGGAGAGAGAGAGAGAGAGACAGAGACAGAGAGAGACAGAGAGAAAAACTGTGAGAGTGAAGAAAAAGTTGTGTACTGCTATATATGTAAGAAATTGGGCAGCAAAATCAATGAACATAACCACTCCGGACCTTTCCTTGTCTATAAAATGAGAGGGTTAGTCAAAATGTCCTCTGGGTCCCAGAAAGCTCTGGATCTATGATCTTACAATCTTTTTATTCCCAAGGAACAGACAACATGAAGAAATGTTTGTTATAATCTAATAAAAGATGAGTAAAGAAAATGAACATTTCAAATCTTTATCCTCTGCAAATAATTTTGCCTTTTTAGTGCTTTCTCTGTAATCTTTTACGCCTACTGCTGTATGTCATAATTATAGACACACTTTTTATATCACTAATTAAAAACAACTAAGAATATTGAGTGAATTGCAGCAGCTTGGCATGGATGGAGAGAGGATGGTCATGCAGTGGGATAACAGATTAATATAGGTAAGAAACAAAAGTAGCAAGAGGGGGAAAACACATTTTCAGGGATCAATGTATTTGCCATAAAATTTTAGATTACTTTCTCAAATATGAATTGTAAAAAGGTCTTTTCCTCACTCTTCTCTGGATATGCTCTCATTAGCATTAATAGGGAAGGAGGTATGAGTACCAAGAAAATAATACATTTCTTAACATGGATGCCTGGAAGCGGTTATTACCAGTGACATTAGTAAAGTATGTGGCTATTTTGCAGGTTTGACTAAACCAGCTTACATTTGCTGAGGTCTAAATGTTGTGCAAGAGCCAGATTATATCTTTTATAAGAATGCTGGATAGTAATAATAATAATAAAAAATAATCATTACAATTTTTAAAATCTCATAAAGCATGCTCATACACAGTACCAACTCCTTTGCCGTCAGGGAATTGGAGAATTCTGCTGAGGGGTGGAGAGTGGAGCAGAAAGAGATCAAGGAGGGGAAAAAAAGATAAAGCAGAAGAAAGGAAAAACCTGAAGTACACTGTCCCTTTTTAGTGAGGGATGGAGAGAGGTGAAGGGAGAAGAAGGGGAAGAAGTTGGGGAAAGGGAAAATATTTGATTTTTTTTCTTATTTTCTCAAAGCAGCAATGAATTTTGATGGATTAGAGAATTAAAATATGATCTTAAGTTTTGCTTTGATATGCAAATGCTGAAACTGTAATTTAAGCCAATCATTTTTGTCTTGTATCAGTTAAAAGCATATGTGAGTATTTTACCTCTTTTATCAAAATAAAGGTGTTAGGTCAAATAACAAAATAATATCTTAAAAGTGTATTGTGATCCTAGGATAAAGTCGATTTTATAAACTTGTGCTTTAACCATGCTAAAGGTAATGAAACAAAATGCAAATCAGAATATGTTTGCTCTCAGTAAAGGAAAACATTATTTCTATTTTCCTGTGTTTGAAATACAGATTTGGGATTGAAATAATATGGCAAATATTATTCAAAATCAGAGGTTATTGAAATTGAAAATATTCTGCAAGTGCTTTAGTATTAATATTTAAATGCATTTAAGGGACATAAAATCTATGTAACTGTTTTGATTCCTATCAAAATCCTTAAAATATTGTTTTGAGAACTTGGTGGACCTAAAACCTTTTGAGGCTTTACTAAATTTAAGAATATAATTTAAATATTTCTCTATTTAGTTTAATAAGTTGGAGATCTGTGATTTCACTGACGCATGTACTTCCTCTGTGGGTAGCAGATTGTAATCCTTCTATAAATGAGTAGACACTCTTCCAGAGGCATGGGGGCTGAAAAATTCATCACCTTGAGGCAACCAGTAGCAAGCCTTTGTAAAGTTAGCTCAACTTGCACTTGTCATCAGACATGGCCACCAGCAGACTATATCCCAATTTGATCCAATAAGCATGTATCAATCTCTTACTATTTACAAGGCACTGTGTCAGGTACTGTGGTTTCAGAAACAAAAATGAAAAATAGTCCCTATCCTCATGAAGCTTATATTCTTTGGAAGTCTTTTTGGCTTCGTAAATCTGCTAAAACTCGGGTTCAATTGATGCAACTTTTGATACCCCAGGGGTACTTCCACTCTGGAGACATCAGAGTAAACTAGTGGAGTTTCTTTATATAATAGATGGAAAAACAATGTCTTATGAAGGGAAAAAAATGAAAAAGTTTCAGTTTAATAACATGTATTAATTATATATCATTTTGAATTTGTACAAGATCAGAATAAATCATAGAACTTTAAAGAGATCTAAGAGAGTGTGTAAGCTATGCTCTGATTTTATAAAGAAATTATTGTCAAAGAAGCAAAGTGAGTAGACCAGTATGATGGGGCTAATAAGTATTTGATCTAGTGTTAGAACCCAGGTCTTGCAATGTGAAGACCAGTTCCTTTGTAATACCACAGGGTGTTTCCTCCTAACTTAATACACCCTTTCCACCTATCCCCATCATACCCCCAAGTGCCAATTTGGTAGTTTATGGGAGAAAAAAACTTGAAAAAATACATACACAATAAATAACCATTTGACCCAAGGAGAATTTTTTTTTATGTTTCTCTGACATAAAGTTTTCTCACCTTCATAGAACAGAAAGTCCACTCACTAAGAAATTTCAATCAAGGGCCTGAAACTGAGAAATAAAAGAAGACAAACACATGCATCACAGCAGTGGATACTCGCTATAACTCCTCCAAGTAAGCACCATCTCAACTGATCAGACTCATACAGCAGAACCATTGTAACCTGAATATGACATGTAATCTGTACTCCAAAAAGCTAAATGACAGAGGCTACAACAACATAATTGTTGCAATAAATGATTTCAATGTCCTCCAAGCAGGTTTATTGCTGGGCAACCCAATTTTATTAAGCATGTCTAGATGGAATAGCAAACCAATGTATTGCTGCTTATGTATCTATCCAGAGACGACTATTAAGGGTGATTTCAGTCATGGATAGTTGGAGTTGGGAGCCTTGGTTCAATTTTAGAGTCTATAACTCAAGGAAATGTTTTGGTAACAACAAAGCTAGTGCTTCAAATAAGATGGCTATGCCCTAACAGGCTTCGGTTGTATTGTTTTGCCACCTTTAAGAGATATACAACGTGGCTTTAAAGTAGCAACTCCATAAAACGTCTTAGATTCATCTGCTGGGAGGAAGTTACTCTGATTCAGTGGTAAATAAAGCTTAATAATACGTTGGACTTTAAAAAATGAAGTACAGTCATCAGTGTGGTTTGCTATTATCATAACTGAAATTATAATTAGAGACTGGCATGCCACAAAAATGCTTTTGCATTATCATCATTTTTTAACTTAACCAGCAATTAACAAGTAAAATAGGAAATTTAATTATTTGGCAAAAATAGAAGATTTTATGCAAATTAACCTATGTTGTACATTACTTGAGAACTCTTTTAGGAGATCAGACCTGTTAGAGGTGACTTTCAGTGAGGAAACTCCCTTTAGCACTGCAGATTGACACAAGCTTTAAAATATATAGTTTTAGAGAATTGCCTAGGGGCACTGAGAGGTTAAATGATCTGCTGAGAGGCATACAGCCAGTATCTGTCAAAGGTGGAACTTAAACCTTAGTCTTTCTGATTCTGAGGCTAGCTTTCTATCCACTGCAGCATGCCAGCTAGAGAGAGAGAGAGAGAGAGAGAGAGAGAGAGAGAGAGAGAGAGAGAATGTGTGCATTTAATTGATACATTTTGACACATCAGTCACTTCCTAACAAACAATTCTATTATCTCATCTTAAAAAAAAAGTTGAGTATAACTTCTTAAATTCAATTTCTCTAAAAACAGTTAAGTGAATAAATTAAATTACTCTACCCCACATAACTAGCAGAATTAACAAGACCTACCCTCTAAAACCTTAAACAGGTGAGAACAAATTTTAATTGAATCAATCTAATGTAGGTTTTCTACAAGTTGCATTAGAAAGTTCTTGATCAGTTTAAACGTCTGATTTAAATAGCCACTCCAAAAGTACATTATCTGAATGGATTCTGGTTCTAGCTCTAATACTTACTAGACTTGACCTTTAGCAAATTATTTACCCTCAGTGAGCCTTCTTTTTCTTTTAATCTAAAAAAAAAGGAAGCTAATAATGCTTGCCCTATTCATCTTGCTGAGTTCTTATGAGAAATACAGACATCATCTCGGAAAACTCTCTTATATTACAGTGGAGAAATTCAAGAGTTTGGAGAGTCATAAAACTGTACAAATGTATTATATTATTATTACTTTAAATTAAATATATTAAATGAATTGACTTTGAATTGGATATTAAATATACTGAACTCAACTTTCATTCTTAAACATGGATTCATGCAGGCATGTTAGCATACTTGACAATAACATAGGCTGTCCATATTCACCTTAGCCAAAAGTTATATCATTTAGAAATGTTATATATATCCACACATATATGTACACACATATATACATATATGTGCATATATATACACACGTGTGTATATGCATATATACATATATATCCATATTCACACTACTGAAATTTCCATGAAGATCATGTCTACTTGGTTGCTTTCTCTCTAATCAAAGCAAAACAATGGTATACAAGAGATTTCCTTCTGCTTAACAGTGTTACCAAAACAGAATAATGGTGTGAGAGGAAAGTGTTGAGGGTAGAAACAACATTCAGTAAGTTTCCTCTGAACTTTAAGTTCCAATTGGAACTCCAGGCACAATTAAATGTAAAACTAAATATGACTTTCTCTCTCTGCACCTAAAAGGCATGAATTTATGAAACAATTTTCTTTCATTCTGGCTTCAGGTAGAACAATGATTAAAAATATCACTTGTTCCCACTTCCTTTTTTGGATAGAACAACATAAGTCCATTAAGATGTGTGGTTTCATTTCCATTTTACCTTTATTTGCAACAATGCTTTTGTGGCAAAACCTGGCAATGCTTATAAAGTGAAAATGAATGTTCAGTTTTTATTTGTATTTCAACTTTGCTATACAAGTCTGAACAAACCCTTTTTTTAAAAAAAAGGAAAAGGAACACATGATATATATGAAACTCTATTAACCAAAATCCCCCCAAAGGATTTGAAGAAACCTATCTGAGCTTCATTTGTCAGCTTTTCCCTAGCTGTGCTATCAACGGTAGCTAGACTGAATGGAGAGTGAATCAGAGTAAGGAAGACTGGTGCTGTCATGCCTCTGATGCAAACTAATCATATGACTCTGGAGAAGTCACTTAATTTCTTGGTTATAAAGACAACTCTATAACATACATATGTATATATATGTATATATATATGTATATATATATATATATATAAAATTTAATAATGTAAGTTGCTAAGATGTTTCTGATCTTGCAGAAGGGATTTCCCTTCTGAGAGTTCCTTCTTGTTGTTATTCAGTTATTTAACTTATTTGTGACTCTTCATGACCCCATTTGGGGTTTTCTTGACAAAGATATTAAAGTGGTTTGCTATTTCCTTCTCCAGTTCATTTGGCAGATGAGGAAACTGAGACAAACAGAGTTAAGTGACTTGCCCAGGGATACACAGCTAGTAAGTGAGGTCACATTTGGGCTCAGATCTTCCTGGCTCCAGACCAGTGATTCTATCCACTGTGATGCCTAGCTCCCTGGAGAGTTCCCTATACTGGTGAAATTACAGGAATGGTCCACTACTTTGAAGCATTTAACCCAGGTGCCAAAATTTCTCTCATCACAAGAAGGCTCTGTATATGCTTTTAAGAAGTTTCTTACTCATTTGGCTACTGACCTCTACCCAGGAAACCTAGGACAATGTATGTACAGTATTGCTCCAGTATCTCCATTCATTCAATCAACAGCATATATTAAGGAACTACTACATGTAAGGCATCATATTGAGCAATGTGGATACAAAGAAAAAGTAATCATAAACCCGGCTCTCAAGGAACTTCCATTTCCCATTTACAGCTAACAAAACTGAGTCCACAGAAAGTTTTGTTTAAAAAAAGTGAAACTGAATTACTTGAAAGAACACTTATCAGTCCCTAAGATGTATTTAAAAAAAAAAGTCTACAGTGTGATGCCTTCACTGACTCAGAATCTCCCCCACAAAGCCCACTTTTCCCTGAGGCTTCAAAGCCTGAAAGGCAAATGGTATGCCATATTCCTAGTCTTCACTATGGCTTTGTAGCACAGCCACTCACTCTTCAGTTTTCTAAAGGGTAGGATAGGGTAAGACTCAAGAGCTTTCAATCTTTTTGATGCCTTTTCCTCAATACTGGGTAGCAACAAAATCTTTTAAAATTCTCTATCTTCTCTCCAAATTGCCTCTCCTGCCCTTGTGCCTTCAATTGCATTTCCAGGTTACCAGCTCCACCAATCAACATGAATTACATATTACTTAGGAAGGACAAATTTTATTTCCTGAGTTATTCAAACAAGAATAAGAGTGAAAGCTGGTAAGTAAGCTAGATTTTGTTTGACTGGATTTTGAAGGCAGTTTACTGTCATGCATATATGCATAGATAGAAGACATAGCTACATGTATGTCACTTAACCCCATTGCCTAGCCAAAAAGAAGAAAAAAACCCACACACACAACTGGAAGCATGCTTAAATAACATCAAGTCCAACTCATTTATAATTGAGGAAACTCAGGCTAAGTGAGGTTAAGTGACTTGTTCAGGATTTCACACCAAGAAAAGTCTCTGAGTTAAGGATTAATTTTTTTTTGTTTATTTTGTTTGGCAATGAGGTTAAGTGACCTGCCCAGGGACATACAGCTCATAAATCTTATGTGTCTGAAGCTGAATTTGAACTCAGGTCCTCCTGACTCCAGGGCTGGTGCTCTAGCCATTATGCCAGTGCTAGCTGCCCCTGAGGTAGCATCTTTCTGACTCCAAGCCCAATACTCTTTCTTTTGGACCACCTGGCTGCTCCATACATGTACATGCAACAACAACAAAAAAAAAAAAAGGGAGGGCATGCAAATGCTCAAAGAAAAAATAACTGACTTCTATAGGGAAAGAAAAGTGGAATAGACTTGTAGTATAATATAAGACGACTAAGATGGAATATTGACATGAACTCATTAAATTCCAATATATTCAAGAGGAAAAATCTGCATGCCAGGACAGTTATTTATATAAAGTCACACAACATCTCAGTAACAAATCAAGTCAACCAGCATTTATTAAGTGCCTACTATATGTCAACACTGTGCTGAGTGCTAGGGATACGGAAAAAAAGACAAACAGTCTCTACTTTCAATATGCTTACAATCTAACGAGGGGACCCAACATGCAAATATATACATATCTACTAAAACAAGATATGTGCAGGATAAATTGGGGGGTAGTTTTATATGGAAGACACTAAGGTTAGAAAGGACTGGGGGATGGGGGATCTTTAGCTTAGATCTGAAAGAATCTAGGTAAGCCAGGAGGCAGATATAAGAACAGAGAGACGGACAGGCAAGAGGAACAGCTAGTGAAAGTTCCCAGGGTTGGGAGCTAGAATTTTTTGTTTGCGGAACAGCAAGGCTGCCAAGAAATACCAAAAAAAAGAAGAAAATGGGGTGGGGGTAGGAGTGGGGGCAGCTAGGTGGCTCAGTGGACAGTGCACGGGCCATGGAGTCAGGAGGACCTGAGTTCAAATTCAGCCTCAGGCACTTGACACTTAACTAGCTGTGTGACCCTGGGCAAGTCATTT